CAAGGTTACCTGCTTTTGTTGGACCTTATATCCTGGTAAATAGAGATAAGGAGATTAAGTGAAATATATATGCAGGCATGTTAATTAAAAATTTTTGGTTTGCTTATATTCTAGACTCTGAACTAAAACTGAGTAGTATACTTATTAGTATTAAAACACACTAAGGGCAAAGGTCAAAAAGAGGTAAAGAAATGGAATCCTACAAATAAATACAAGTGAAGTTAAAATGTATGTAGAAAGGAATAGGAAGATGCCAAAAACCATCTATTTCAAAAATCTGCTTAGGGTCATCCCTAGACCATGAAAAGACAAGATAATACTTTTCTTTTTGTCTCCTGGGACAAAGGGCAGCTCAGTACTAACACCCAAAGTTTAGCAATATTAATGAGTTAAATCACAGTATGAGTTAAATAGGCTTATATGCATTGGCTTTGGAAAACTCTACCCACATAGCATACATTGTTCCTTCAGGAAAATATAGTTTAAATTACAAGTAGTCAATTTATAGACTCTTGGAATATAACTCTTAGTAGTTGGCCTGAGCAAAATGGTTCCATTTATTTCATGATTATAATAATCAATATTTCCACAATATCTTGCAAAACTGCAGAATTTTATAACAACTGCCTTAGTGAATTGTGCCAAAGAGCAACGATAAGTAGCAGACTGAAGTCTAGATTTTGTGGCTTGCTTAGCACCAGTTTGGCTACCATCAAGGAATGCTGGCAGAGCTGCTTAAAGAACTAATATTTTGATGTTGCCATTTGAATTATATAATTGACTGTCTCCCTTGCATTTTGGGCATGATAATGTAGAAGAATATACCCTAACTCTTAGGGCATATTCTGATAATGTCAAGATGAGAGCTCTTATTCTGGATCCCTGAATCTCCAAACACAGAATAGCTGTAGTTCCCATGGCTTTACGTTATTTAGCCTGCCAACCTTACACATGTGACCAGGCTGCCTACTGGAAGGCAGCCTGGAAAGACCTAGCAAAAAGCAAACAAAAAAATTCACCGGAAATAAGTTTCTCAACAGCTGGAACTTTCTCAATAAGTAAGAGTGGTTTTGTCCTGGCATTACAATTGATATAGCCAAAGAAAAAACTCATGTGCTATTCAATTATAATCATTTTATACGTCTCAAATTAGACATGATTCATGGAGAATAGATGTTAAGAACAGGCAGAAATAATGTTAGCAAAGTCAGAAAAAGACTAAGTACATAACAGATGAGTACTAGAAAAATAATCAGCTCACTAGCACATCCTTCATTAGGGCATATATTCACCATAGATGTCCCTCTCCCTTCCAGTGCATGTCTATCCAGGTTCCTAAGGATGTCTGAACTTGCTATTCTACCACAGAACAAACTTCCCCACAGCAAATGCAGATACGCAGGTATTCTAAATCGATCCCAGTTGACTACAAAATTGTAGTATTTTCATAGTTAATTATAAAAACCTACAAGAAAGTTTATATTGCTTTCTTTTTTATCTTTATTAGAAATAAATATAACATAAGACCAATTTATGATTTATTGCAGAAAATATAAATTATAAGAAATAATTAGTACCTTTTAAAAACCCCCAGAATTTGACCTTTACACAGAGATGTAATGAGTCAGATATCATTCTATAGTTTGAATAACATTACATAAATAAGTTCCAGAAATTGTAAAATTGACAGTCCCCTCCTTTGTAACTTTTAGTATGCTAAACATAACTGTAAAATAGCATATTATTTGCTTATATTCCCATTACTATCTATTAGACTATAAATTCCTCAAAGATAGATATGACATCTTATTCATCTCTATTTTTCCCATTCTCTAGTATAGTAGCTGACATACAGTAAATGCTCAACAGATGTTTCTTAAATAAACTAGAAATGTTCCTTAAATAAACTCAATTGAAATACATAAACCTTTACTCCCAATCCTAAAATACACATATGTGTATACATGCATATATACATTATAAAAGGGATAGATGCTATTTTAATTTTCTCTTCACAAAGATAGTATTTTTATTTGTTTAGAAACTAGAAATTTCATATTGTAATATTAATAGAAGGCTACACATTTTTTCCAGTGAATAATAACATCAACTTGATCTTAATCACAAAGATTGTGATCTTAATCACAAAGTAATGTTTCTAAGAGAAATATGACGGATATTAAGAAACTGATGTCATGAGGCCTTAATTCTCAAACTGCAAATGATCTTGCAGAAAACAGAAAAATCTCTTAAATGTTCTGGGAGCCCTTATGTTTCCATAATTTCTAAAAAGATTTATTTTAAATGACTATTAGCAACACCCACCACCATTTACTGAGTTTTACTATGTACCACGAGTTGTGCTAAGCACTTTGCTACAATATCTCGTTTAACCCCAATAGGATGTATGATGTAGGTATTACTGCCCTATTTTACTAAGAAATATATTTTAACCTCAGGAAAAAAAACTTCTGGCCTTAGAGATGATCTGGACCAATGTTCTCATTTTAAAAAGTAAACAAAAAAAACAAGAGGAAGAATTTAAAGAAAAGATATTAGTATTACAGAGGTGGATGTCTGGTATGGAAGAACAAAAGGACACAGAGGAAAACATACAAACAAAGGCAGAGTCTTAGGAAAAAATCTGAACTGTGTAAGAAGTGGTCAGAATTCAGATTATTAGATAATTGGCAGAAACTAGGCCAGAGAAGGAGGTTTTCAGTAAGCTGTGGAAGAAAGGTAAATAGCTTATATTTTTTCTGAAGAAACTAGGGAAACTAGTAGGTAATAATAATATTGATTATTTTTATATAGCAGCAGCTACCACCATTTATTGAATCCTTGAGAATTAGTGCAGGTTTATGTTCAAAACTTCACAGGATTCAAATGCATTCCTTTGTTGTCCCAAAGCCAGTTCTTGTCTTCATTTCAGTGTTATTAATATAATGTCTCCCACAAAAGACCCTGGCAGGAGAGTGACTTGATTATACCTTCTCATAATATTAATAATACAGATTATAAAGGAAAAAGAGATACTAAAGAACATATACTGTTTGAAACTTGCTATCTACCTCTACCTTATTCTGTAAATAAGCTACAGAAGCCACTTATTTATCTGCCTCATGAATATATTCACTTGGAGGCTCTGAAGGCAATCTCCAACCCATCAACCAAAATGGAACTTATCACCTTCCCAATACATTTCTTTTCTAATCCAGCATCTCTCAATTATCCACAGTATTAAAATTAAAAAGAAGAAAATAAAACTCTAGAATTAATTCTCTGCCTTTACTACTACCATCATTTCTACTTTTCATTTTACCCCAACTACAAGTGTTAATAAGTAACAAAGGTAGCCAACTTGAACTGTACTTACTCCTTCTAATGGTATAACAAAGAATATGAATTCTGGAACCTATCAGGACAGACCTGTTTCACCATTTACCACCTGTATAACCTAAAACAAGTTACTATTATTTAACATTTCCATTCACCTTCAAAACAAAGACTCCTACTGGAAGCAATGTGTTTTCTAGTTTACTGTGAAACAGCCACGGGAAAATGGTTGTGAGGAAGTTATTAAAGGTGTTTACTCTCATAGGATGTCTCAGTGAAATAAAAGTTTCCTAGTCTAACATTCTAAGAAATGGAGACTTCCCACTTCAAACAAAGAGATGCCTGAGGTACTACATTCAATATATCCTTAATGGATGAAGGGAGTCCACAAGACCTTCAGTTAACAAAAAAGTCAACAAGGAAAGGGAGAACTGTTGAGATCCACTCGCAGATATAAAAGCAGAGGACAAAGTCCAAAGTAGCTTCCAGCTAACATCTCAGAAAAGTTAGGTATAAAGGTGAGTGAAAAGAGTCAGACACAAAGAATATATACCATACCATTCCATTTCTGTGAAATCCAGTAACAGGGAAAAACTAAATAACAGTGATGGAAGTCAGAATAGTGGTTATCTCCAGGTGGACAGAAGAAGGATATTATCTGGGAAGAGGCCTAACAGAGTCTTATGGGATAATAAAAATGTTCTATATCTATACTTTTATATAGGTAGTCCTTTTGTAAGTATATACATATGTAAAAAATTCACTTGCCTGAGCACTTAAGATATGGGCACTTTATATGCAATAATACTTCAAATTATAGGGGTCAGGGTCAAATCAGAACAAGGACCACAACAATTCTGTAAGATTTTGTAAACTTTAACTTTTCTATGGTTTTACATTTTTGGTTGCCATTGATCTACTTCTCTATCATGAAAATCAGTAAATGTATTATAAAAATAAGTTCAGTATTTCTTTGCAAAAAGCTAAGAAGGTGGAAACTGGGCAGTCCATACTGCTTTCTGTAGCTAGGTCTTAGGAGGCCAGAATCAGAAAGAAGCCAGTTAAATGGTGGTAAACAAGTGCCTGACCCAAGGAGAGAAAAGCACTGGGAGGCAGTCTGGGCCTGATGAGCAATAAGAAATCCCAGATGTTCTCAATAGTTAACAATTCATCTACGTACCACAATATAATCACTGTTGTCCTGTAGGTACTCATTGAGCTTTATCAACTTGGTTAAAAATGTACTCATTCTTCCAAAAGAATATTTAGAAATTATTTCTTCCAAAATCAATCTGATTACAAAACCTAACTTTAGGCATGAGTAATAGATACTCTACCATAATCATCATCAGCTCTGGGCAATACCAAGGAAAAGACCTGAGTGCTGTACGAGGTGAAGTTGTACATACTCCATTTTATGGCTTTCATTAACAGTTAGAACCAGGCGCTGTGCTTCTCTGACACATTTATGGAAGATGTTTGTGAGAGTCACGAAGAAGGGGGTATGTAAAACTAATGAACAAACAAAACTTGATTAACCAATCTTTTACAATCTCACCATTCAATGAAAGAAAAAAAATGATGTAATGGTCTAAGACAAAGAAAGTATAATGAGCAAGGCTCTATAACAAACCCTCTGTCTAAGTGGATGATTCCATTCTTACCTTTATCACGATCATAGAGCAAATCTTCTGTTGAGCAAGGGCTACCATCCTGGGATTCCGGGGGACAAAATGGGGAGATGCAGGGTGAATGACTGCTGCAACTACTGCTACGCTCCTGGACGGAGGGAGTCTGAGTGTCAATGCTGCGAGTGCTACTGCTCCGGTAGTGAGCAGGGAGTGGAGCTCTTCGACCATCTGGTATGTCCAATGGCTATAAAGGGAACACCATTAAACATGCAAATGCCAGTGCATACATTGTATGCATATAGAAAGCACATAGTATATTTCCTTTGATTTCATATTTCAATACTGTTGCCACCATAATTTTCTATGGTTAAAGATAAAGAATACCAACCTTGTGTCTTAAGTTAATTTCTGGGCATGTTACCTTTATGGAACTAAAAATTTCTTTCAAATCAAATTGTTTGCCTTAAAAATTCCATAGTTCCCTACATGTATTCATTCATAGGTCAGCACTTCCCATAATATCCTTCAATTACAGCAATTATAGCAATTTCTTTAACACTGTATCCTTAATGCCCAACACTGTGCCTGGAACCATGGTAGACATTCAATAAACATTTGCTGAATGAATTAACTCAATTGCTACCAAAAAACCCCAAAACAACAAACACTTTGACTTTGTTGTAAGAAAAAGTGAAATTTCACATTCACAGGTATAGATTTTTCTGTTTGTTCATTCTTTCCTATTTTAATTTTTTAGAGGCCAGGAGCAGAATCATATTTTCTATTTCCTTTGAAAATTACCCAAAATTTCTAATAAAGAGGTTTATTTTATTAGTACTCAAATGTAAGATATTAACATAGCTCTGAACAATTTTACTAATTTGGTATTCAACTATGGAGGACTACTCATAATTTAACTTAGTTCTATTGAAGTGTTCTAAGTGGCAAAAGGAAGAAATAAAAAGGAAACTATAGTTAAATACAGAACCATACATTTTGCACTTGAGGGCACCTCCAAGTTCATTAATCCAACATCTTGTTCACATAAAAAAGGGACCTACAGTTCAGAGCTCCTAGTGACACAACTAATTACGTGGCATAAGAGCTCCTGCTGAAGTAGACTCTTTCTACTCTATTACTCTGCTTCTACTGTAAAAACAGATCTTACTCCATTTTTTTCATTTCTGTGCTAGCAAAATAAGGTCAAAAAATAAAATTCTACACATTAAGTAATTTATTTGTTGTCGTATAGATAGGACTGCAATGCTAAGGAAAAGAATATTTATTTATAATTTATTGCCACTATTTATTTTGTCTACTGTTTTTACTTTGAGCTTTGTCATTTCAGAGATTTCAGAAACACAAAGGAGAAATGGAGGAAGGAAAGATTAGGCAAGACTCAAAATGTATCAATATTTTCTATAGCAACAAGTGAAAGCTGAAACCTGTAACTACTCCAATAAAAACTTCATTTATTAAGGCAACACTGCTAAATCCAACTATATCAACAACGTGACAATTACTAATCTAAAAAGAATATTCAATTATTTAAATATGAGTTCATTTTATAAATAAAAAGGTAAAAATTTCCAATTTAGGAATGAAACAAAGGAATATTAATTTACTTGGTCAAATTTTAGGAAAATGTTACTTCATGAAAGTGTCAATATTGGTAATCAGTGTAAGAATAATGTAAAAATTTATAGCTACAAGAAATTAAAAAATTTAAATTATTTTTCATTCATGGCCTATGTAACAAATACAATCGTTCTATATTTCCATTTCTTAATCTATAACTGGATAATATATATTAATTTCCTTAATCAACTTTTATTTGGAGGAGGGTAGAAGTAATAATTACAATAACAAAACAGATTTTAGAAATCTACATATCTATACAAAATAACAATGGAAAATATGAAAGCTTGGAATATCAATATCATTAACATGACAATTTTCTTTTTTTAGCTTCTGACAAATTCATAGTGACATTTTAATTTATTAAAACTGAGGCACACAGTCACAAATCTAAAAGTTCTAAAAATTAATATCTTAGTTATAAGTTTATAGATTATCCCAGAATAGTTCTGAAATGGCTATTAGAGTATGACTTATTTAAAAGCAGTATTTTATCATGTTTTATACTTTAATATAGTTTTGCTTTGATGTTCTCAAGGAATCAGAAAATATATGAATGATTCTCATCCTCCAAAATTTAGGCCAACTTTACCTCCTTTCATTACTGTATAAACATAATGTATAAAGGAAACATTTTAATGATGAACAGAGATGGCATAATTTCCAAAAGGTTCCTTGATGGCATAATATATAGAACATTAAAATTTAAGATAAAATGTCTAAGAAGAGTAAAATGGCACAATCTTTTGCGAGGGTCAAAATTTTAAATGTTCAAATGCTTCAATTCAACCATTTCACTGCCAGGAAATTATCTGCAAGAGTACACAGTGTTTTCTAAATCCACTGCATGTTATGACAAAAACTGAAAATAATCTAAATATTCATTAATAGGGGACTTACAAACATCATCAAGAAAGTGAAAAGTGAAAAGAAAACCAAAAGAATTGGAGATAATATTTTCAAGTGATATATCTGACAAAGAACTTGTATCTAGAAAATAAAGAACTTTTTAAAGAACATTTACAACTCAATAATAAAAAGACAAATACCCCAATTTTAAAATGGGGCAAAGGATCTAAATAAACATTTCTCCAAAGATATATAAATGGCCAATAGTACATGAAAAGATGCTTATTAACACCATCAGCCATTAGGGAATACAAATCAATACCACAATGAGATACCACTTCATATCCACTAGCATGGCTACAATAAAAAGACAGATAATTACAAGCGTTGCTGAGGATGTAGAGAAATTGGAACCCTTATACATTGCTGGTGGGAATGTAAAACTGTACAGCCACTTTGGAAAAGAGTCTAGCAGATCCTCAAAAGGTTAAACATAAGAGTTGCCACATCAGCAATTCCACCCTTAGGTATATATCCAAGAGAAATGAAAACAGTATATTCACACAAAAACTTGTCTACAAATGTTCACAGAAGCCTTATCCATAATAGCCAAAAAGCAGAAACAATCCAAATGTCTATCAACTGAGATTGAATAAATAAAATCCATACAACTGAATATTATCAGGCAACAAAAAGTACTGATATATGCTACAATATGAGTGAACCTTAAAAACACTATGCTAAGTGAAAAAAGCCAGTTATAAAAAGCCATATATTATATGATCCCATTTATATGAAATATCCAGAACAGGAAGATCCATAGACACAGAGCAGATTAGTGGTTGCCTAGGGCCAGGCGTATCAGAGGAAAATAAGACAGATTGCCAAAGGATACAGTTTATTTTTTGGGGTGATTAAAATGCTGTAAAATTGACTGTGGTGATGGTTGCATAACTCTGTGAATATTCTAAAAACCAATAAATTTTATACTAAATGAGTAAATTGTATGGTATGTGATTTATATCTCAATAAAGCTGTTATCAAAAAAAAGTACTTTTAAGATAGTTTGTAATATTTAAGAAAATAAAAGAATTCAAATATCCCACACGAAACCTTACCTTGGATACTTCCTCCTTCCCATTATTTTCTTTAATGAATACCTTTTCTAATTCGGGACTTATTCCTTCTACATTGCAGGGCACACGTGAAACAGATGATTTTGGCACTGATATATTTGACAGTGGCATAGGGACGGACCTTGATCCAGTAGCCTATGAAATAGGATAAAGCAGTGTCAAATTATTTGTGGTAAAAGTATCAAGAACTAAAGGGCATAATAAATTTTGAAATCAAAACTCAATGAACAAAGTTATTTTTGACATGTCAACTACAATAGGAATTCAGATACACGTACAGAAATTTAGGTTCTGAAGTAAGGAAGTAAAGTAAAAATTACATAGTCAAAATAATCTTTGAAAATCCTTTTATGTAAGTGTAAAGGTATAATTGTGTAACATATATACTTGTTCATTAGAATGGCAGACAGAATCTGCATTAAATTTTTTTCTTTTTTCTGTTTTAATGGAAAAGCATAATTGAAATCACGTAAGTTAAATGTATCATGTGAGTCCACCGTGCAACTCTGTATGGTTGTGTTTCAAAGGTTTTGTTTCCCGTACAATGACAATTACCTCCTAGTATTTGTCATTTCCATTTTGTCAACTACTTAAGTGAACCTATTAGATTATTAAGTAATGTGGCAACAATACTATATGAGTTCAACAACACACACTTAACAACTTTAACGTTATTTTCAAAAGACCTTTGCAGTTCTCAAAAATTAACCACCTCTAATAGATGTTTTAAGTATAAAATGATCCTTTTGATACTCAATGAACTTATACAACAGGAAAGAAATAAGAAAGATAAAGATTAATAAGGTAAAAATTAAAACAATGTATGACTTCTACTTTACAATAAATGATTAAAATTGATATATATGATTCATGATAAGGTGGACTGTTAATCACTGGTTAAAACATTAATAGCATCTCCCACATTCAATGCTATATTCCTGCCATCTGTGAATTGCTGCCTACTCATTAATGTCCTTTGTCTCTTACTGATACATGAGCTTTTTCCTTATTTAATCTTATTTTTTTGGAGACAGAGTCTCACTCTGTTGCCCTGGCTAGAGTGCTGTGGCGTCAGCCTAGCTCACAGTAACCTCAAACTCCTGGGCTCAAGCGCCTCCTCCTGCCTCAGCCTCCCAAGTAGCTGGGACTACAGGCACGCACCACTGCGCCCAGATAATTTTTTCTATTTTTAGTTGTTTAGTTAATTTCTTTCTATTTATAGTAGAGATGGGGTCTTGCTCTTGCTCAGGCTGGTCTCGAACTCCTGAGCTCAAGCAATACTCCCACCTCAGCTTCCCAAAGTTCTAGGATTATAAGTGTGAGCCACCGCACCCGGCCTTACTAAAGTTTTAAGTCTTTATCAAACATTAGTATCAAATATTTTTTCAAATGCAGTTGATCCTTGAACATAACTATGTAGATTTTCTTCCACCTCTGTCACTCCTGAGACAGTAAGGCCAACCCCTCCACTTCTTCCTCCTCCTCAGCCTACTCAACTTCAAGATGATGAGTATAAAGACCTTTATGATGATCTACTTCTACTTAATGAAAAGTAAATATATTTTCTCTTCCTTATGATTTTCTTGATAACATTTTCTTTTCTCTAGTTTACTTTAAGAATATAGTATATAATACATATAACACACAAAATATGTGTTAATTGACTATGTCATTAGTAAGGCTTCTGGCCAACCGTAGGCTATAACTAGCTAAGTTTTGGGGGAGTCCAAAAGTTATATGTGAATTTTCAACTGCAAAGGGACTGGTCCCCCTAACCTTGGCATTGTTCAAGGGTCAACTATATTTTATAAAATATTTTATCAAATACTTTTCTTTCAGTAATTTTATGGTTTTTCATATTTAAACACTTAACCTGTCATGATGTATTTTTATGTGTGGTATAAGGTCTTAGTATTTTTTTTTTTTTTTTGCCATATAGTAATCCAACTGCCCTAAATATGTTTATGGATTCTATATTTGATTTTGAGTTTCTATCTGATAATCCCTATACAGAGCTCCACTTTAATTGCTGTAATTTTATATTACATTTTGGGGGCTCAATAGGGAAAGTCTTTTCAAATTTTCTATTAATGGGTATTGCTTTCTCACTAACTTCTGAAGACAACTTTTCGAGTAATAAAAACAACTCCTTTTAAATTTCCACTAGAACTCAATAATCTGTACATTAATTTGGGATAAACTATTTGAAATATATTGAGTCTTCCCATCCATTAATGTCTTAAGACTTCCCATTTATGTTTCCATTTTATATTTCATATTCTTGGTAAAGATGTATAATTTACATATTTTTAAGTTAACTTCTAGGCATCTTATATTTTTTCATTGTATTTTCTAACATGTTATTGCTGTTCTCAAACTTCATGTATAAAAGAAACACTTTAATAGTGAACAGAGATGGCATAATTTCCAAAGAGTTCCTGGATGGCATAATATATAGAAAATTAAAATGTAACATAAAATGTCTAAGAAGAGTAAAATGGCACAATCTTTTAAGAGGGTCAACTACTGAATTATATGTTTATATTTTATCTAATAATCACATTAGATTTCAGTTTCTTCCCTTTTTCTTATGGAAAATTCCAATCATAAACATAATTCAACAGAATAGCATAATGAATCCTTAGGTACACATCACCCAGCTCCAAAAATTATCAATATTTTCCATTTATTTCATCTAAACACCCATTTCTCTTTTTTATTCCTGGAGTATTTTAAAGCACATTCTAGACTTCATATTTCACCTACAAATATTTCAGTATATATAGCAAAGGATAATTATTTTTAAGCATAATCACATGCCAAAAATCCAATGTAAACGTCAACAACTGTATAAATCTTTTTTTGTTAAGTCAATCAATCTGGTGTAAGTGTATTGGACTCCTAGAGAAAAAGTGGCTGAAATAAATAATAATAATAATATATAGTTCTATCAGATTAAGAAGAAAAAGGAAGGCATATATGAATTTTCACTTCAAATGTCTGAAGCTTGCCAGTTTGTCTTACAGCTCTGGAGAGGTATAATCAGCATACAATAAAATCCTGTCATTTTAAGTACTCAATTCATTCAGCTTTGTTTTATGCACACACACATACATACAGAGAGAAAGAGACAGACAGACATCCAGTTATCAGTGCAGTCACATTTAGAACCTTCCAGCACCCAAAAAAATTCCCTACAGTCTCTATGCAGTCAATCTGTACCCCCAAAACTTCATTTCTATACTTTTGCTTTATTGAGAATTTAAAACAAATTTATAACAAATCATACTGCAGCCTTTTGCTCCTGACCTCTTTCACTTAGCATGATGTTTTTGAGATTCAACTATGTTTTTGTATGTATCAGTAATCCCCTTCCATTTTTACTGTATTATCTTTGTGGACAGATGAAGTGTTGTTTATCCACTTAACAGCTGAATATTTGTTTCCATTTCTTTTAGTATTATCAGAAATGCTTCCAGGAATATTCATGTTCAAGTCTTTGTGTGGACATATGCTTTTATTTCTCGTGGATAGATACCAAAGGGTGGAAATTCTGGGTGAAATAGTCAGTGTATGTTTAACATCTTAAGAAAATGACAAGATGTCTGCCAAAGAGGCTGTACCATTTTGTGTTCCCTCCAGCAATGTATAGCTGTTCTAGTTGTTTTACACCCTTACCAACACTTGGTATTGTCAGTATTTTTCACTTTAGCTATCTTTTAATTATTTTTAATGGTCTAGTTAATTTACTTGGATTTGCTAAATACCAGTGTATGTAAAAAGTGATAATTCTTTTCCTCAGTCTCCTGTCTAGAACCTCTAAACTACTAGCAAATAATATCAATAATTACAGACATCCTTGAGTTGATTTTTATTTTAACAATAATGCTACCAATATTTTATTGTCAGGGCCTCACTACATTTGTAGTTAGTCACATTAGGAAGTGTTCTATTTTTAGTTTTTTAAGAGTTTTTTTTTAACCATAAATGGATATTGAGTATTTATGAAGTATTATTCAGCACCTAAAAAATCAAATGTTTTCTTTTTCTACTTTAACTTTCTAATACAAAAATCTAAATTAATACATCTGCTAACATTGCTGCTTGGGTCTCTTTTGCTACACTAGTGTTTATTCCATGAGATATGTTAGTATGTAATTCTAGGGGGAAAATAAAAACTTTAATCTTCAAGTTCTTCATATAGGAATAAAATATATTAAGAGATACAGAGACAGATGTGTTAAGGAACTATTAAGAAGATTAAATGAGATAAAACCCATAGTTGCTCAATAAGTGAGTGAGCTAGGATTTCAGCCCAGGTCAGTATCATTCTTGAGACTGCTATACTGACTCCATCTGTTATTAAAAGAAGGTTAAACATATGATTTAAAAAAATCTTATAATAATTTAACAAATAGTAGTAATTTAGTAGAGATAAAGACTCATTTTTTAATCCTAAAATAATGAATTCTCTCTTTATGAACTAAAAAGAATTATTCAAATCTGGACAAGAAATTAACCTACCTGAGTGTGACTGATTGTTATATGGTTGCCATGGAGAGGTGACTGCCGATCTTTTTCCTTACTGTGACGACTACTTTGTTTGCTGCGTTGTAGTTGCTGCCTCAATTTGGCAATCTGCTTTGGGGGAGGGAAGGAGAAGCAAAAAGAGAACAAAAATAAATATCAATTTTTTTGTATTTATTTCTTCAGTTTTTGGATACTGATAAATATTTTTTTTTCTCAAAGGTTCTAAGAAGCTGTAATATTTTACTACAATGATTTATTCTTCCAAGTTTTTAGGATTAAGATTATTGAAAATAAGAAATAAAAAAAAGAAAATAAGAAATAAATAAATGCTTTTATAAATCTGAACAGTGTTACTGTAAATATGTAGACTAAATTACCCCATATTATTTCATATTTTACCTTTGTAACATCAGAAATATCTTCCTTTTTAAAAACTTTTTGTAAGATGAAAAATAATACTTCGGATGCCTACTGATTAATGTCAAACCTGATCTCTTAATATAGGAATCACTTTAGTTTCTAAGTCCCTGTCTTACATAAAAAAAAAATGGATCTGGTTTATCAATTGCTAAACACTTTAAAATTGTAAAGTCCACGGGGGTGAGGAGAAGCAAAGCTATTTAGTCTTAGTAACCTATTAGTATTTAATATATTACTGTATATTACTCTTTAGTTATGTAACTTTTAATAACAAATATAATTTAGGGTATATTATCCTATATAGAAGGGTCAAACTCTGAGGTTTAACAGAAAAGTCATTACTACAATATGTCCTGGAATTCATTAAAATACTTACATATTTTAGGTGATTTATAATCTGCTTTAAGCGTTCTAGACCAGGAATAAAAAAATTCCTGAGCATTTCAAAGGGAACCACAGTAATCTGGGTGAAGTCATTTAATATTGGTATTATTTTCCTTGCAGAAAAGATGACAATATATTAATCAATCAATAATTATTCCTTGAACACCTACAATGAGCCCAGTTTTATGTTGCCTACTTGGTAAAGTATAGCTATGGAGTATAGTCTCTAAAATATATTGATTTTCTCAGAGAGATATAGCAAAAAATACAATGTATTATGAAATTATATAAATATTTACCTTGAACAACCATGGCAATAAAAAGCACAATAGGCAATTATTATTAAAGTCTATAAATGCTCCTGGGAAAAAGCATATAAGTTGTTGCGAAAAATAATTTTTAGTGGCAAATAGAAGAGAAACAGTATAGAAGGAAATAAGGCACCCAAACAAAGGATACTTTATATCCTTTCTTTTATATTAAGATCCTTGGATCCCTTTAGTTTTTGAAAGCTTTATGTAGCTTATGGATCTCTCATATAATATCCTTGCAAAAGGCATATAAATAAGATTATGTTAATATTTGTGTTCCCTCCTTTCTGTTGAAATGACAATTTTCTTCTAGAGAACATTAATTTTGATGAGAAAAGGAAAAAAAATTGTAGGTAATCATTATAAATCAAGACAGACAATTCTCTATGATAAAAAATAAATAGGATTTTAAATTGTACAAGTCATTTAATTAGGATGGAGGTATAAATTAAGTGTTTTCTGAATATTAATGATGCTTTAGTGTTGTTTCAAAACCAGCAACAGCTTGTACAGAAGAGCCCAGAATGCCTAGAGATTAATTAATATAATTTGTAATTATTCATTTTAAAAATAATCTTAAAAATAAACAAACAAAAATAATCTTAAAATTGATCAATCTTAACGAATCTATTTTTCAAGGCCTCCATGACATCAAAATAAGCCAGAAAAGTTTTGTGCTAAGGAGGTTTAACAAACCCCTGAAAACAAAAAGCATACATCATGCTAGAGACCTTACTTTGCTTGGAATACCAACTCAAACAATGCAACCTTATAGCTTTGACACAATATTGTTCTTTGGAATATAATATAATCATACTCTTGTTTGCAATTCAGTAGGTATTAGGGTAAAAGGAAAGCCCATCCTCCTAAACATGCATACTTAGAATACTACAAATTCTACTTAATAAGTATGTGAGGAATTTTCTTTGAACTTGAAGTGGGTCCCCTAGTATACTAGCTTCAAGGTTTAAAAAAATTAGGGAATAAGTGACAAAAGAAGAAATAATAATTATACAGAGAATATAGCATAAATTATCACAAAGGAAAGACCAAAACATTTATGAAATCAGATGAAGAAAAATCAGGAACTGGCCCCATTTAAAATCTGAGAATCAGGAACACTTGTTTTGGCAACTTGGTAGTATCATCCTTGTTTATTTGCTATGTTTGTTCGGTCCATTTCCCTCACTATTGTTAATATCTAAAGACAAAATAAAAACCAACCCTTAGCCTCAAAAGACTGGTTGAGCACTTGCCTCATGGATTGAAGGAGAGGGAAATATTTATTAGAATGAATTCTATTCCATAGTAGGAAAAGGAAATGAGAAATCTTAATTTAAAAGGACTAAGTGGTGGCAATAAGAAAGGAGGCAGGGTTCTTAGGCTTTTGGAAGAGAAGAAAAAAAGAGAATTAGCCTAAAACTAGGAAAAATTTTATAGGTTATCACTAGAAAGTGACCTGGTATCCTCACTAATCCTTCTTATCCACAGATACCACTGCATCAATACACAAGCAAAACCATCACATGTATTTGGGAAGTGCAGTAATTCTTATTTCTGATGTTAGGATAATGTGGAAAGTTTGCCACTGCTATCCTAAAACAGACCTCTTAATAATATTTGCTATAGAAAACCTACTACACACAGTGGTTAGAGTCTCTATTCCACTACTGCAGAGAAAACAAACAAGGAAATAAATAAATAAAAGCAGAGACATAGTAAGTGATTGAAAAGGCAGAGCGTACACCAGGGATTGGGATAATTCACAACACATACATCCAACAAAGGACTCATCCAGAATATGTAAAGAACACCTCCAAAGCAATAAAAAAAAAAAAAAGTGTGTTTAAAGAATGGGCAAAACATTTGAACAGGTACTAGCCAAAGAGAATATCCCAATGGCCAATATGCGTAAGATAACGTGCTCAACATCATTCTCATCAGGGAAATGTAAATTAACAACCATTATAATGACTAAACGTAAAAGATGATAACACCAAATAGTGACGAAAACATGAAACAAATGGAATTCTCCATACATTGCTGGGGTGGATGGGTATTCTTTTCACATAGTAGGCTTGATTATATTAACAGAAGATTTTTTTTTTCTGGAGAAGTGTTTATATCCTCAATACTTGGTCAGCTACTAAAGGTCACTTTGGTCTATTCTTCAGGTAATAGTTAGTTGAAGAGTAGAAAGCGGTGACCTGGCTCAAATGAGGCAAAAATTCTTAATTCAGTTACCTGGAAAGGAGAGAAATGACATGGCCATGGCTGTAATTAGGTTCTAAGGTACTTAGTGGGAATCAGTGCTGAGAGAAGAAGGAATCTTGCTTATAAATCAAGAAGGCTGGGGAACTATGCTTCTACCTCACAGGAAAAAGAGCAATAAGGTACTAGAAAATAGAACAACTCCACAAATATGATATCTATTTCTGTCAACGACATTTCTAATAATTAACTGAGACAATGGAACACACCCTCTTTGCATAAAGAGATATTCCTATAAAAGAAATTTATCCTTTGCCAAATATAGGCAACACGATTTTATACAAATTATAATTCAACATACTGAAAATGCTCTGATGATGTACATTCTGACCAGTAACATATTCTTTCTAGTGATTATTCAAAGAGTAACTTGTAGGCTAGTTTGTTTGAGGACTATGTCTATCACTACTAGAAAAGCTTCATTAAAACTTGCCTAAGTAATGACTATTTATTGAGTACTAGCAATGTAGAAGGCACTCTACCACTTGCTTTTATGTGAATTATCTCATTTATTTTTCAATAAAAGCATATGAGACAGATACTGTTATTATCCCTATATTAGAGGTGAGGAAATAGAGGTGGAAGGGTTAAAAAGCTTGCGAAAAGTAGCAAAGTTAAGTGGTGAAACAAGTGTTTCAACTCAAGAAATAGAATTCCAGAGTCTGGTCTCTTAACCACCATTCTATGCTGCCTGAAGAATCAAGTCAATAACTCACAAGGAGATAAATCTTACTAAAAAATAAAGACAAATGAGAATGAAAAACCTGACAAGAGCTGAACTAAGATAACCCCTCCCCAAAAACAATTACTAAAGATATTAACCCAAATAATTTTTCTGAAAGTATAGTTTGAGAAGTCATGAATCTCAAGTTGTTATTCTCTTTTATATGAAACAGGGAATATATGACAAACTTTAATGCTCATAAAGATCAAGTGTCTCAAAAGGAAAGTACAATCTAGTCAAAAGCAAAGTTTACATTTTATATCCTTTGACAAAAATATCAAGCTTCTAAAAATAAAAACTTAAAACTTTTTTGCCTTTCCATAAATAAAAATAATCAGTGACGTTTTCCTGTTTTTCTTTAATGTGCCAATAAGCAAACTCAAATGAAGTGCTCTTCATTCAACTTCAGGATATTAAAATTGACACAGGTATATGCATGCACAAATGTGCACATAGACCATACACATGTGCAAGTACAATACATATACACAAGGCAGGAGTCATCTGCAAACACATCAACCCTTACATGTAGACTCACATAAACCCACTGATCCAGGAACAGACAGATCCCTCCCCTGGCAGCACACAGATTCACCCCCACAGATATAGCTAGCTGTAAGAGAACTGTTAGACTCATAAAGCAAGTTTTAACGTGGAAATGTATCTGCGACGACCAATAAGGCATATTCGCCAACAGAGGGATTTTAACAATATCCGGCTAACATTTAAAAACACTTTGTTTACAAATTCATTTGATCCTTTTAATTTATTACATCATGTTACAGATGAGGAAACACTTAAAAATAAACTACCTTCTCAATGTGAGACAGCTAATAAATGGCAAACCCTGTCCTTTAACCCTGCAGTCCCCAACCCCTGGGCTGAAAACTGGTACCAGTCTGTGTGTTGCCTGTGAGGAACCAGCCACACAGCAGGAGGTGTGTGGTGGGCTAGCAAGTGATGCTTCATCTGTATTTACAGCTGTTCCCCACCACTCACAT